TAATATATCTGTTTAATGTTTTATATTTTATAAAAAAACTGGTTTTTACGCGGAGCTTCGCTCGCATTGACGTCTTCAATACGCATCAAAGATCAAGATACAATAGGCTTATGGTAACTAAAGTAAGAAATGAAAACGTTTGATTGAAATTTATCTAAGTATCGCGTAAAAACCGCATCGATCGTCGCAGCTGATAGCTACAGATATACTCAGATATACAAGCATGTCGGTGACGCGAACGCACTAGATTTCACCCATCCAAAAAGCGTCAAACGCCTACAACACACGACCGCTGTGCGTGCGCCAGTCGTGAGCATGTCGGTGACGAGAACGCACTAGATTTCACCCATCCAAAAAGCGTCAAACGCCTATAGCACACGGCCGCTGCGCGTGCGCCAGTCGTGAGCATGTCGGTGACGCGTACCCATAACATTTTCCCCTGCCAAAAAGTGCCCAACGTCGCTAAAGAAGTTTTCACCTCAAAAAACTGTCAATTCATTATTTCTCTTAAAGTTCCTATAAATTTGTCAACATTTTTCCCCTTATTTATTCATAAACACCCATCAAATATTTTACAACTCAAACTACTATATGAGCCTACTAGAGATGAGCCGGATACCCGGTTTGGACCACATAATAACGGGTACCCAGCAGTGCTGGGTAATTCTACCGGAAGAAAAAGAAAGAACAAACACCAGCAGTAATAAGTTAATAAGTATAACAAAAAGCCACGTTATGAAAATTGGTAATTAATATTGTATTCAATTAGGACGTTTGCCCAAATTTATATTATTTATTGATTACTATACTAAATTGTTATTTCGATATAGTTCTCTGTGTTTGTTTATTATCGTGAACAAGAATACGTCAGTATGGCCGAACTGTTACAATTTCTGTCTCTTGTAGTTGGTATATCCGTTATTGATTAACGATAACTTATTAGTATAATATTGTCACCTTGCAGACTTTTAGTATTTATCAATATTATACAGTCATTTCAACGGTTACAACTGAAACCTCTCGTTTAACATCCGTCAACCAAGAAATTTTATTGGTTTAGTGTTTAATCGACTTTTTGCACGGTGTTTATGTCGTTTGGGGCGTTAGTAAGGGTGGTATTTAATGGAAAGCCAGCCAGAACGAAGACAACCGAGCGGCATGACGTAGGCCTAGATGTTTAGACCATTCTTTAGCATTTGGGAGGAAGCCGGTTCGATTTCGGGTCAATCTGCCTCGGTCCAAGTTTTTCTGTGATTTCTATGGATCACTTAGGCAAATACAGGGGCAGTAATATTCTACAGATAATCTTTCATTCTCTACTGTCTTCATTTCGTCCGACTCAATTTTTTCACCCGAACCACCATTCACCCATTCCCACGATTCCTGAAAGCAGGCTGAAGAGGGCTTTCCGCCCTACCTTCCGGCGTAGTCTGGAGGGACTGCCCGCCCACCAGCATTACTGGCTAGTGGGAGTGAAACACCCAAAGATTTTTTTTTTTAGAACGAACCCATAAACCACTTTTTGCCAGGTACCCAGTTATCCGATACCTAGTAAAATCACTATCCGGTGCATCTCATTGCTCTTTTCACTATTAATTAAGGGTAATCCCCTGTTCGACTTATTTTTTACGCTTTGACCTTCATTAAACATGAAAATCTCCTAAGGGACCTTTGCATAACTTTATATAAATCACCGTTGTTAGCTATTTTTGGAATTACAGTGTAAACTCTTTATAACGTCACTCGATTTAACGACAAACTCCTTAAAACGTCGAAATAGCTTGACTTTGGTTGGTTTTCATTGTTTTCTTTACAATATTACACTCTATATAGCGTCACGCTCACACTATTTAACGACAACAATGGGCCTTATAAATCATTAAGCAGTACTTTATAAGTTGCCGAAATAGATAAGAACTGCAGCTGTGTACGTTGGTGAAGAAGACGATCCTGTCCCTCCACCAAGCATCAAACAAGCACTTGATGCAGCGAAACTATTAAAATAATACTTTTTATATAATCAAATTGATCCAGCAGTATCTCAAGATATGAGTAAGATACGTAACAAAATACAATTAAAATATTGGAGCAGCAAAACACATCAGACGAAGATAACAGGCTATACGCAATGTATGAATAATAATGTTCGTGGGCAAAATGTGTACTATATTGGTAAATCCATATTGTTATAGAAAAGTAAAATAATATCTTTTATTTCTCTCCATTTAACGACCACTCTTTATAACGTCGAAAAATGTTCAGTCCCTTCAGTGTCGTTATATAGAGTTTACACTGTATTTTAGACTAAACAACAAAGGTTACATTAAGAGTTAATAATGCTAGTTACACGTATAATTCGTACATAGAATTATACGTAAATTATGTAATACTCCTGCATACTTCTAGTGAAAAAGTTATAATAAATAAAAAAATTTTGTAAAATAAAATATTTTGTTTTCAGTGTTCTGGTGGTATAAGGAATGGAGTGTTTCTCCGTTTATATGTATGTTAACAACTGTTAATTACCCTAAGAAGCTCGTTATATATGTATGCATGTAATGTGATTGAAATAATAAAGCACTCCTAAGACACAAAATGCTTTTCTTTACGATATTATTACAACAAGAATTTATACTGGTCGAAAATTATTAAATTTAAATTAAATTATGGGATGCTTTATGTAGGTATACATACAGAAATTAACAATTAAAATAGGAATAAAGATCAATTTATTACAAATGATTCAGTGATCCTATATTTTGACAGAATAATTTCCATTTTTCTAATGTTCGTAATGCAACATTTTAAAACAGAACGCACAAGTAACCAGAATAATATATCTGTTTAATGTTTTATATTTTATAAAAAAACTGGTTTTTACGCGGAGCTTCGCTCGCATTGACGTCTTCAATACGCATCAAAGATCATGGACGACCACAAAATTAATTTTTTCTTTCCTTCGGGAACAGTATTTTTTTCTGAATAAAAGGTACCTACCTAAGTCCAAGCAGCGTTAATTTTTTATAGTAGTAACTGGTTTTTTTCTGTCTTCCAGTAGGGTCTTCGTAATACAAACGAAACCTCCTTTGCTTTCGTTAAAGGAATTGAATCTTCAAAATTCATTCAAGGAGTAATATTTATGAAATATGCGGAGAAAAGAAAAATGTAATGCATGTATTTTTCATAAAACTTTCTAAAACTTCCCTTATTGTCACGTACATTAGCAGTGCTATCTTTCAATGTGTTCTCAACCCCTACATCTTATGCTAATATCACAAAAAACTACTTTGAAGAATTTTAAAAATTTAAATTATCGAATAATTTTTTTGGTAAAACAAATACGTGTATTGTAAATTAGTGACAGTTGATGTTAAAGTTGACATCAAAACTAAAATTTTGGTCGTATTGACAATAGAAAACGTCAAATTTTTTTCACTTTAAATTGTCTTTAAAATAACTTTTTTAAATTTTACTTTATTTTATTTTTAATCTGAAAACCTAAAAACGCAGATTGTCGAGTTTCTACTGCTTTAACTATTACCATTTTTTTTGTTAGACTATTTACTTGCCGGGACAGTATCAGTTTCATTAGTAAAATGAGCAAACTGCTCTATTAATTAATCCCTCTTACAGCCCCTAAGAACTCGTTTGTATGCTTTCTAAATATATTTTCAATTTGTGCAACTCTGCCAACTAGACATTCGGAAGGTGTGAAAGAAGTTATAATTTTGACCACGAAACGTCATTAACAAAGTGATCAGTTGGGAAGTATCTAAATAAAAAGTAATTTATAGTTGGTATAAATGGAATAGTACATTACGTATCGAGGGAAGAAACAGGGCATGTGAATTGCTACATGCAGTCTGACACAACCCTGTTTCTTTCCGAGGTACGTATACTATTTATTGTCATGTTTGTGCGAAAAGCTCGTCATTAAATTGATGGTTGGCGAAATAAGAGTAAGATTTAGAGGTTAGAAAGACACTGTCATTGAACAACTGATTTTTGCGCATGCTCCTCCCGACTAAAATCTGCTAAAACACGGCTGAAAAGAGGCCATTTCTTCCCTATTTCATTGCACGCAAAACGAGCTTTCCGCGCTAATATGACAAAAAATGAATTTCCACATTAATATTTGATATATTAACCATTATTAAATATCAAAGTTTTTCATATATATAGTATCAATATGAGTTATTATAATAATTATACATAGAATCTATGAGGGAATGTCTCCTATAACTAACAAAAAACAACAGCTTACATTTTAACGTTTATTGTACACGCTAGATTACAAAGAAGTTACGTTACAAACATTAGTACGGGTCGCCATTTTTTTTTATTTTTATATTTCGAAAATTCATCCACAAATCCATCGTCCTAACTACCATTTACTTAAATCGAGCAGGAGCAGTCAAATTTTATTCAAGAGAAAAATTAATTGTTTAGCTGCACTGTTTTGCTTGTTCCGAGTTAAAAACCGATCCAGTCGAAACAAATGTGGAAAATTATTGTTAATTTTTCTCCTTCTACTATCAGCACTAGAAAAAAGGAACAGTCACATAAAACAAGAACTCATTTAAAGCAGTTCGATTCGTTGTAAAGAGAACAAACCGCAAAATTGTTTTTTTCTTTCAAACGATTTTTATATAAATATACTTAATTTAGAATTTTTTTTTACGATTTATTACAACGTTAGTAACATTGCAATTGTCTTAATATATGTAAATAGTAAAAAAGAATTTTGAAAATTTCTTACTTTAGGGGGGCAGGGAGGAGGGCAACATGGTGGACAACATGGCACACAGCATGGCACGCAGACGCAGGGTGCACAACATGGTACACAGCAAGGGACACATGGGGCACAGCAAGGTGCACAGCTAGGTGGGCAGCAAGGTGGAGGGCAACAAGACATGTTGTTCGAGGATTATCGGTTACTTATACACTTAAAAAATTTAGAAATTTTGTAAATTTACGGAGCGATTCTAATTGCGACCTTTCGCGTGTACGTATTATAAAATAATAATTCACATAACCATAGCGACCTGAAACTATTGTTTTCTTACGGTACACTAGACTATTATCAAAAATAAAAGTTGTTGATTGAAATAGAATT